TCATCTTAGCCGCGCAGTACCACCTTGCCAACTGGTATACCGAGTGCAACCTCCCAGCCGACTGGCGCATTGCAACGACCGATAATGGCTGGACTACCAATGCTATAGGTCTAGATTGGATCAAGCACTTCGACTACTATACAGCGCCCCGGACAAAGGGCAAGTACAGGTTGTTGATCCTCGACGGCCACGAGAGCCACCACTCGACCGAATTCGAGCTCCATTGCCAGCAAAACTACATTATCACGCTCTACATGCCTCAGCACTCTTCCCATCTCCTCCAGCCACTTGATGTTGGCTGCTTTGGGCTATTGAAGCAGGTGTATAGTCGTTAGGTTGAAAACTTAATGCGAATGTATATCAACTATATAAGTAAGCTCGAGTTCCTCTGCGGCTTCCGTGAGGCCTTCTTCGCTTCCATGACAAAGAAGAATATCCAGGGTGGCTTTACAGGGGCTGGCCTTGTGCCGTACGATCCAGAGAGGGTGATATCCAAGCTGGATGTGAAGCTTCGTACACCAACGCCCCTGAACTCGAGGGCTGGTACACCACAACCTTGGGTCTTCTAGATACTATACAACCCTCGAGAAGCGACCTTGTAGTGAACGCTCATTAAGACTTGTATTGCCAACCATCAAAATAGCTCCCTAACGTCGATGTTGGCTGCGGTGGACTAGCTTACTAAGAGTACGATGGCTGTAATGCACTAGGTGGCCCTACTTCAGTCAGAGGTCTCTTCGCTCTGCAAGGCCAACGAGGCACTTAGTAAGCGTTGTAGAGCTAAAAGAATATGTATATAGCTTAGAGAATCGCTTACAGTACAAGATGCAAAGGATTAACTAGGCTAGAAGGCTACGGTTGAGGATATGGCGCAAGAAAAGAAGCAGGATAGTGGTAGTGCAGCGAGAAGTCGTACGAGGGTTCGGTGCTGTGGTGTGTGCGGCAAGCCTGGCCATAATGCGCGTACGTGCCAGGAGGCTGCAGAAGCATCTGACTCAGCCGTTTCTGATGTAATTGTAGTTGGTTGATAGTCTTGTTGTATTGCAATTCAGGATCGTTGTTATGGAGTGGTAGAGAGTGTCTCGCTTGCTTATATGTCTCGCTCGCTTATCAA